CTTATTACTCCGTTACGCAGTGGGCAGTCCCTTCCCATATGACCCCTTCCTGTGCACTCGTAACAGCGTATCACGTCCCGTTCCCCGTCAGTCGCTACTCTGACGGATGGTGTAACCCTTCGCGTTATACCATTCGAGCCTTCCGCTTTACTGGCATTCTTCTCTCCCTCCGCCTTGGAAGTACCTTCTGCGGGACACATTAGCCCTTCCATACTTTGCATTTCCCGCACTGCACGTTTTCTCTTAGTTCGCCACGCATTCATCGGAACAACGTACTCTCTTAGCGCCTTTGCTGCTTCGTGCCACGTCGGAATTCCCTCTTCCCTCGTTTCGTCAACCTATCTCCTATGTCCTCAGGCAATCCCGCTAAGAAAAATATAGCCAATTCTTCCTCGGGCATCTCTTCTCCTGTAATCACTATGTCCGTAAACGCATTTGTATACTCATTATAGTCCCCTTTCCACACATTTTCCTTCATTTTAAATATCATACTTTCCCGTGGTAAAACGCGGAACCTCTAACAAAGCCTTTCACGTACTAGGGACCAATTTGTCATATCTATACCAGATCGATATATATAATCCCATTGCTTAACAGCCCGTCCAATTAGGTACTTCCTCACCAATAATCCCCATTGGTCCTCCGAAATTTTCATTTCTCGAAACTCTTGCTCCATCAAACTAAGAAAGGTCCTCAGGTCGGCCCCGTCTTCAGTCGCCGCCATTTTCGATCGGAAAATTTGCTCCGCTACCAATTCGCCTTGATTCCTCTGACCTTCCCCCGTTCCTTCTATGCTTTTGGCCTTCATTTCCTCGGCAATAGCTCGTCCTTCGTCCCTCATTTGTCGGAGGAATGATGCTAACTCCTTCTTCCAATCCATAGTCGACTCCACCGTGCTAAGCGTTTCACCTGTCCCCTTCACTTCCGTCCCCTTCTTCTCCGCCACGTTATTAATCTTCCCTTTTGCGGAATTCTCCTTCCTTAACTTTGATTTTCGCATTTCCGAGTTTGTTTTCTTTGAATTCTTGGTGGAGACTGCCTTCTTATCAGCCATTTTCTTCCGACTAGCCAAGCGTAGTTAGTCCCTGCCGTCGTTCGTTTCCGTCGTTTCCCGTTCGTCGAACTCGACTCTCCGGATACTTGGTATGATACGAATGGTTTTTATCGAGTTAAGTAGGTAACTATGTTTCAAATTGATAGGAAATTCTCCTTCAAAGGGTTCCCGGAACGGCCCCCAAATGTAATGACCTCTGTGTGTTCTTCTGACTGAGTGGCACTGCGAAACTGAGGAATACGCGAGGTTTTCAAC